GTGGGACTGTCTCTGGAGGGTGCATTGCTCTTGGTAACAGATACGTACTTATTTATATTTCAACTAGGCCTACTTAAAAGAAAATGAAGTGGATTTATGAAATAGACATTGAGTGAGAATAGAATAGGTTGTTATGATTTTTACCCCTCCTTCTTCGCTCTAAAAATGGGGCTTCATGCCATGTTTTTTCCTTCTTCACTCTCTCTCTTTCCTTCCTTTTGTGCTTTTTCTCTTTCCTTTTCCCTTTTCTTATACTTATTGAGATTTATTAATTAATTGACTGATTTATGTATATTGAAAGAAAGAAGTGAATTATTAAACTATTTTTTCTTTTTTTTTCAGTATGATCTTTCAGCCTCACAATTTTCGCCTGACGGCCGAGTGTTCCAAGTAGAATATGCTCAAAAAGCAGTTGAGAACAGTGGGTGAGTGAGGAATAATTTCCTTTGTTTATTTGTTTATTTACTTATTTTTCTTTATTCACTTGTGATTTTTGTATTTTTTTTGGTCTATATGAGTTCATATGTTGAGAGCATAATAGGTTTTTAGGTAAAGGATAGAGATATGGATAGGCAGATAAATAGATTAATGAATCAGATATATATATTATATATATATATATATATATATATATATATATATTGCATGTTTATATGTTGTGGAAGATTTATATTAGTTTCAGTTTTATCAATTAGTTATACTGATCGTTGATTCTAACTGTTCCTGATAATTTCACCTCTAGAACTGCTGTTGGCTTACGCTGCAAAGATGGTGTTGTGTTTGCTGTAGAGAAGATTATTACCTCAAAACTGTATGAGCCTGGGGCAAATAAGCGTATCTTCACTGTGGACACACATGCAGGCATTGTAAGATTTTTTCTTGTTTTGTTTTAGAAGCTGTTTGTGAACCATATTTGGATGTATAGTGAATATTAGATCATTATATATAATATATATGTATATATATATATATTATTATTATTATTATTATTTTTTTTTTTTAATTTTTATTATTATTATTATTATTATTATTGATATCTGTTGCACCAGACAATGTAAATGTTCTACTACATCTTCTACCACATCTCTTACATCCTCTGCTTCTTGAACATGTATCTCCTCCTCACAGGAGAATGTTTGTTTCTCAGGCCTCCCTACCCAATTCTCCTCCAGAAAATCTTGAAGACATCTAAAAACACCTAGACATGACCCAATAGAATGTTCTGTTCCCTCATCAACTCTCCAATCCCTCTGTTCCTATTCCCTCTACATTCAAAGTATTTGCCAATATCCATCCTCCTCCTCATGTTCCCCCTACCACTCTTCTTCCAATCTTTCCCAACACACCCCATCCTCTCCTCCATGTGCACCATTCCCTCTTTGTTCCCCATTATCCTCTCCTGTTCCACCTGGATGCTCATGTCAATCCCTTCTGTCGCAACAGTGTACTTCTCCGGATCCCTCCCCTCCTGAAATTCTTCCCGATACTTCACCACCTTCCACAGTCCCCTCATCTTTTTCCTCCTCTTCCGCTACCTCTCCAACAGCCATCTCTACCTGCATTACCCATTGATTGTTTTATAATAGCTCTTCTGCCAGTTTTCCTTATACAATATTCCCCAGCCACAAATACCCTTCATTTCATCCAATCACCGTATGCCATTAACCCTTTCCTTTACTGATCTCCGAATTACTTCATTTGCACCTCCTCCATACCCTTTATTTTTTATCATACTCTCCTATAACACTATAACCTTTGACATTTAACACACTTTATCCTAGCTCCTTTTTACCCTTTTTGCGACAATACTTTACCATAGTTCTGTATGATCTTCAATATTTAGCACATTTATTTGTTTCAACTATTAACCATTTAATTAATTTAATTTATTTGTTTCAACTATTAACCATTTAATTCCATAGATTTGTTGACAAGTTATTCCATCTATCAGTATCATCACATAATCTCTTTATTTTTCCATCAGGCTTGCGCTGGATTATTAGCTGATGCTCGTGCTATTGTTGATGTAGCCAGAATTGAAGCTTCTAATTACCGTGCCGAGTATGGAATGCCCATCCCTTGCATGGTGAGTGTGTTTAACTGCCAGAATTTGTTTGCAAGACAGATGGAAATAATAGAAATTTGATTTGGCAGGAGAGAGGATATGATGGAAGTAGCAAATGATAAGAGAATCTGGAAACTTGTTGGGTGAATTTATTTTATTCATTGTCTGAATTTGTTGATTAAAAAATTTCCTTCAGTGTCATGTCCCACTTGGGTATGGGTAATTTGGTCTTATGTAAATATACTGTAAGGTTAAGTAAATTTGTTTCAAAAGGAGACCTTGAATTAACAGTCAAATAACCTGTGTGAAAGATTAACTCTTGATATACATGAACCTTTCTCTCCATATAAATAAATTCTTAAGGGATTAGATCATTGCAACTGTTTAACTGAACACTTAATATTACAGCTGTTGGCGGAACGAGTTAGCACCTAC